AGTTTTTTCGTTTGAATTGTTCACACTTTTCATGTCGGGCCTTTTATGGACAACTTTACAGTATCAGGTTTTTGTCATTGTTGAAGGCCTTACGATTGTCTACAAAAAGCATTTGTCTACATGACGGCAAAAAGCTCTACAGAGCTTATGTTTGTAGTATTTCATGTAACCCGACTTAAAATAAATTTTACTTATCTTATCTTATCTTATCTTATCTTATCTATAATTGCTTACAGCCACTTCATATTTGACCTCCGGTGGATAGTTGCCTTATTAGCAATCATATTCCATCTCTTCATTTTTATATTATATACGTGACTTCTAAACTCGTGTTTTCCTGAACAAGCATGAAATAATTTTCACTGGGCGTTAAAATTAGCAACAAACAATCAATCAATTTAAACTTGTGTTAAATAAGAGGAAAACCATTTGATATTTATTTATTTGTTGGGGTGGGGGACAGAAGGATTTCATATATGAATATGGTTGCCTGGTAAGAGCTGAAAAATAGGCATGATTAGCGACAGATTGAAATGAATAATAATGCTCTCTCTTCCCTTCCCCATCCTTCATCTATAAATTTAAACTGACCACCACGGAATAGCCCAATAGTGTTGAAAGTAGCGTTAAACACCAATCAATCAAAATCCCTTCCCTAGAATATCAAATAATCGTCCCTTAACTGTTATTGTCCGTGTAGTTCTTATATTTATCCAGCTTATCGTCCTACATGGTTGTCCTACTAAGGCTGTCATACCATAAAAACGTTTATAAAACAGCTCACATTCTAATATATCTGCATTCATAAATTTATTAATTTCATTTAGACTAAACGACGCCATGTTTGTTATGTGCCTCTGCCGTCAACCTATCAAAAAAGAAGAGGTGGAAGAGAGCCAGAAGATCTTCCCACTGCAAAAAAAAAAAAACAGAAATGGACTTCTTCTGGCTCACTTCCGAAGAACAAAAAAAAAAAAACGCGCCCCATTGATATGTTTTAAAAACGCCTTACCCCTTCCCTTTTTTCCAAAAAAATGGCATTATTAAATATATAAACATATATATAATCATCAAAATTAAAATGCTATTGTTTTTATAAGACCTACTTTATTACATGACCTGGGACTAATGACATCTATCTATAAGTCCTAGCATGCATTAGTTATTATAATATGAATATGTTTCTTGTTTTAATAACCACATATGATGCTATGCATGAGTCACCATTTATCAGGACATGAATTGCGTTTACATAGAGAGGATAAGGGACGACATCAGAAAATCAATGAAGGATAAAAAACTTAATTGAAATATTTTATTTTTTTTTTTTTGAGGGGGGGGGTCAAAATTGCTGCAAGTTTTGTTTAATTGACATCTATTTTATATATATCCTTATTGGTCAACCAATTTTTCCCAAATTAAGTTCAGAGGGGGGGGGGGGTAGAAGGTCAGTGAAAAAAACTTTATGAATTAAGTTTTTTTTATCCTACATTGAACTTTTGATGCCGTCCCTAATGTGCAAAAAATAGATAAGGGGCGGGACCAAACCTATAGATAACGTAATGAAGAAATGATGAAATATACAGAATACGTTGATTGACTTTTGGTTGCCTTATGTCCAGTGGCAAATATGTCACGCATGTTTAGGACAAATATAATAGAGATCAAAGGATAAAAAATAGAGTGAAATGGTAAAAACTAAAAGATATAGAATTATAGAAACGATCTTTGATCTGAAACCCCTACCCTCACACACACACCATAACCATTACTGCCAATACTCGCATATATACATCTCTATACAAATATCTAAATTTGAACCTACTTCCCCCTCTAGACACCGAGGTTTTAGATCCGCCCCTGTTAAATGTGTCTAATTATATACATTTTGTACGGGTCTAGATAATAGCTAAACGTACAATCATATAATTTGTTGGATACCTAATTATATTATATAATGTGTCACAAAATAAACTTGTATACCCCCCTTCCCAATGCAGTATTGAAAAGTAAATCATTTAAAAGTCCTGAAGATAAAATATGTTTTGAAATATGCCCTGCGTACTTATTTAGGCAAAGACATATAGTAATTATAGAACTACTGTGGGGCTTGAAAAAAATCTATTTAAGGGATTCGGAGACGAGAACAGTAAAGCTCAGCAACGAATCCTAAATGTAAAATGATTTGCAGCTTAAGACATGAGAGCACATAGTATAGATAGTATTAAATATGAAGTTCACGCCTCATATAGTGAAGTCCTATGTCATAGGACTATTTTTGTAACATAGGTTAGTAACTGGTTCCAATTTATCCTGAATTGTCTTTATTAAAGAATTAGTTCATGAGTATAACAGCTTATGTCTCTACTTGTGGGTTTCTGGTTTCTGCTGTCGTAATTAGGTGATTTTTTTTTCTACATGTAGTAAAAAAGAGGGGGCTTAGTCCAAATAATTGTAACGTCCTGAATGCTTTTTATTCTTTTTTCATGTGTGCCTTTCTGCAACGTCTCTGAGGATCAAGAAAAATAAAAATGATATAGCACTAAAGAACGTCATGATTACATGTATCTGGACTTAGAAGGGGGAGGGGGGCTAGCTATGTATTTTTTTTTTATTTCAATGTGTAGACTGTAGGAGAGTTTCTTCAGAAAAGGTTTTCATTGGAGGTGTTTTTGCCATGCACGCAGGCATCTGTTTCTATCCATGAACAAGTTGTGTGTCAAATTAATTATTATTACTTGTCCCTCGCATTTTTTGCTCGTCCTGGCCATTATTGGCATTAACAGCCAGTGCACGAACTCGCACGAACGCCAAATTTAGTTAGAAGGGCCATATTCTGACGCGTTTTTTCAATTCTTGGTCACTCAAGTTTAGAAAGAAACGGGAGAAATCCAAACAATTACCGACCAATCACAAACGTTGTTGCAAATTTGACTTTATGACGTCAAAGAATTTCCCATAAAGCAATTATTGCATATAAATAAAAAACTACTATACCAATTGAATAAAAAATATTGCATTCAAATGACATTTTATACCAATTGAATAAAAAATATTGCATTTGAACGAAAATTATACCATTTGAATGAAAAATTATACCATTTGAATGAAAAATTATACCATCTGAATAAAAAATATTGCATTTAAATGAAAAAATATACCATTCAAATAAAAAAAATATTGCATTTAAATGAAGAAATATACCAATTAAATAAGAAATATTGCATTTAAATGAAAAATATCAATTTTTTGCAACCAATACCATGCCACAACAACTACATTTGATGTATGTAATGATATGAAGGTGTACACGGTTGCATCTAACCTTGACCACATTTTCATGGTTCATTGATAATGTAAGGTTTATGTGATAGTAATGTAGTTCAGTAACATGATTCTCTATACATGAGAAATTATTATGGCTAATATGAAAATTACTATGAAATTAGTTGCTGTTTCTCTAGGGGCAACCGCCATGTTGCGTATTACAAGTAAAGAACAGGACAATGTAAGTTTAAACATATTGTATGTGCTAAATCTAAGCAAAGGGATGAGACACAAGTAAATCATACTTTTAAAGTCTTCTCCATAATACAATATGGAATTTATTCTGCGATCATATGGATAACTTAGGTTTTGATGATGAGGCAACGTTATGAGTGGGACTTGTAAAAAGTCTATGCATTAACCATATATGTTGCCGCCCCTCCTTAACTATTCTACATATTATGTATGTTGTAGGAATGTTGTTATTATAATTGTTGCATAACAAAGTGAATTTGCACAAAAACCTTCCTAACTGCTTTAAATGATTTAAAATTGACTCGGGATTGGCAACTTTTACATGTTTTAACCAGCATGTTAATTGTTATCTTGATATATTTTTTTAATGTTTTTTAATTATTCATAAAAAATATGATTGAATGAGCAGAACAATTCAAACACAAAGTTTTATTGATATCTTCTCCCTCTTTTTGGTAGACTTAAAACCAAAATGAATTTCAGACTCCTAAATGGAAAATTACTTTCATTGGCGGACATGTAGTTACTGTAGCGTTTGCAAATGTAGAATTTTTTATTTGCCAATTGCATAGTATTACGTACTAGTTTGTCATCACGAAGACCAAGGCAAGACCGACCGGAGAGTCAAATGTACATGTACGTGATAGAATCAAGTGTTATCTTAGACAATGCTGATAAGTTTGTTTATTATTCATGTTAATATAATGAGTGCATTTTAAATTTATCTATCTTATACGAGGGTCTGGATCAGGGAGTGGACCTCCTTAATATTAGGTTACTTTTATTTATTCATTAAACGAATGTTTTTCTGTATAATTTCCTACTTTGACCAATTATGATCATGTAATTTTGTGTATAGAAAGTGTTCGTATTTTTTATTTGTTACATTTTTATTTCTGTAAATTCAATCAATATTTATATTTTATGCAGTTCTTTTCTTTGATAAATATATATATGTTGAATGTTTTAATCTACTTTATCATTGAAATCATGTGTAGTATTGACCAGTATTGTATTTTTTTGTCTTGTAGCAATTTTATTCTGCCCTAATAATTTGTTTACCTTAGTTATAAGTTTCTATTTTTACCGTGCCACACTTCAGCCCCGTTTGTATATTAGCAGCCCTTAATTTTATTTAGTTTTTTCTTCTAATTTGATTTTTGATTTTTTATTTTTGTCCCCAGCTGTTCTGTTCTTTTCTTTTTTGGCTCATTATAATGACTGTTCTCTAGTATTCTATTACCCCCCCCCCCCCCTTTCAGGACCTTCTGATATCAACGGTTAGTGACAGCTCTTAGAGCATACAAGAAACTAACACGTATTCAAAATGAAAATCAATATACATGTATGTCGCTTTTCATTTCAACACAATTCAATCTTTTATTAACTGTCTTTCAGCAAAAGTCACTGTCAAATGAATCATAGCCGTTTGAATAGCTGGTTATTGGTCTTTAGGTTAAAACGAAACTACAGACCTTCACCTACGTTATGATAATAAGTTTGACATTTTACCAGTAAACAAATCAATATTCATTGTAAGGTAACATTAATAGTGACACCGAGCGTAGTTGTCGGTAAGTTTCTTTTATTTGTATAAGAATGACATGAGGGTTAATGCTAGGAAAGGTTAAATAATCACGAAAGATTGTAAGAAATTAAGTAAGAAAGTGATTAAACTGGAATCCGCTTGTATTACGCTTCACTCAAACAAAGTGTAGTAGTCAGCCGAAAACCAGCTTACAAAGTGATGTGTGGTCTTAAATTCTAAAAATAGACCTAATTAACTTTTCCGATAGCTCTTTCCGGATCAATCGTATAAAAAAAATTCCGATACTCATGCTGCTTTGCAGATGCAGATTATGACTAGAAGCCTCTACTAAATTTGAACATCTTAACCTACGGTGATTCGACAATAAAGTGCATATATATATATATTGTGTACAATCATTCACATCATCCCACATCATCTTTTTTACATATATCCAATATATATAATGTATTGTATTGTTTGCATACATGCTTTGTAAATATACTATATTGTTATAAATTGTTCATGGGAGAACACTTTATAAGTTTGAATAACTTGTGTCTCATCCCTTTTGCATATTTAAGCAAATAAAATATTTTTAGCATAACATAATGGAAAATAATTAGTTCCTTTTGAATATAGATGAATCAGATACGTCTGCTTTCATCATTTTCGTACCTGTGCATTTACAGCGTTTTTTACCACATAATCGACTCTCTCCAGAAGCTATGGTAGGTTAATTAAGAAACTAAATCTCGTACCCACAGATTCATCACAATACATGAAAGCTATCATAGGGTGCATCCAATTAAAAAGATTTATAAATTTGTAAATTTTCACCTTCAAATTGTTGAAGAACCACTAACTGATATCAAACACACTACTTAGTCCTTGAGGACATTGTAGGCCGTAATAGCTCACAATTTGCAAAATTTCCTCAGAGAAGGTATTGACAAAAATCTTGGTCGTTTATATACGTATTTTATACGTTTGTAAGGTTTTTGGCATTTTTCGTATTTTTTGAAGTCGTGATCTGCACAGACTAAAATTAAATAGTCCCAAAATAATTTAAACAATGACTCAATCATAAAATGAGGACACTTATCTCTATGAATATAAACCCCCTCTACACGAATATTTCACATGCAGATGGTATTGATGCATGTTGAAAAAAAGATGCGGAACTAAAGGGGTATACAAATTCATAAGTCGAAGACAAACTGACACTGAATGCCATGTAAAGAAACAAAAAACGACGAAAAGACAAACAACATTCTACAATATACACAACAACATTGAAAATTAAAAACAGAGCATTACGAACCCCACAAAACACAACATAGAAAATTAAAAACAGGGCATTACGAACCCCACAAAACACAACATAGAAAATTAAAGACAGAGCATTACGAACCCCATAAAACACAACTTAGAAAATTAAAGACAGAGCATTACGAACCCCACAAAACACAACATAGAAAATTAAATACATAGCATAACAAACCCCACAAAACACAACATAGAAAATTAAAGACAGGGCATTAGGAACCCCACAAAACGCAACATAGAAAATTAAAGACAGGCATTAGGAACCCCACAAAACACAACATAGAAAATTAAAGACAGGGCATCACGAACCCCACAAAACAAAACATAGAAAATTAAAAACAGGGCATTAGGAACCCCACAAAACACAACATAGATAATTAAAGACAGGGCACTAGGAACCCCACAAAACACAACATAGAAAATTAAAGACCGGACATTACGAACCCCACAAAACAAAACATAGAAAATTAAAGAACGGACATTACGAAATCCCCAAAACACAACATAGAAAATTAAAGACAGGGCATCACGAACCCCACAAAACAAAACATAGAAAATTAAAGACCGGACATTACGAACCCCACAAAACACAACATAGAAAATTAAAGAAAGGGCATCACGAACCCACAAAACACAACATAGAAAATTAAAGACAGGACATCACGAACCCCACAAAACAAAACATAGAAAATTAAAGACCGGACATTACGAAATCCATAAAACACAACGTAGAAAATTAAAGAAAGGGCATCACGAACCCCACAAAACACAACATAGAAAATTGAAGAAAGGGCATCACGAACCCCTCAAAAAATAGGGTGATCTCAGGAATTTGTGATTCTCAGTAAAATTTATTTCATTATAAATATCTATATAAATGTGTAGCTTTGCATTTTACAGAACCTCAAGAGTCGACAATGAGTACTGGATCAGGTATGTTTGACAATATCAAAATGAAAAACATTTAACTTTCAGTTATTTATAGATGGTTGTTGATTATTAAACAAATTATTGCTATCTACCACGATTATTATGTAGAGCCTATGGGATGTAACTGATACTTAATTTAATGTTTATTGTCTGCACGTTTGTCATATACAAACACACTTACTATCATTAAATTAATGACCAATGTTTGCAAGTTCAAAATGCAAATATATTTGAATCAAAAAAGTTAGACTTTTTCAAGAGTGTCTACATAATGGGCAGAAGACCACTCTATGTTGATATATTGAAAAACAGAAGTGACAGAGCTGCAATATGTAAGATCCGTATAAGCGCTCATATACTGATGATTGAAAGAGGGAGACATCTAAATATTCCCAGAATTGAAAGATACTGCTCTATGTAATTCTGGTCAAATTGAAAATGAAAAACATTTTCTTTTACATTGTGAAAAATACTCAACTAAAAGGGCCATATTTTACCAAAAAGTTTCAAATATAATCGTTGATCCTACAAAATTTAAAAAAAATGAAAATAATGTAATCTTTTTATTAAATAATAATTCATACACAATCCTAAAATTGACTTCCTCTTTCATTTCAGACAGTCTGAACCTGCGTAAAGCAGATTAACTCTATAAAATTATCAATATGTCTAATTCATAATCATTGTTTATAATATTACATATTAATATAGTCATTATTTGCAATACTTATTATGTATGATCAACTATGTAATTAATATACCATGAGCCTTAACCATTTATTGTTGATGAGTTTGTGCTAATAAAATATTTGTATTTGTATTTGTATTAAAGTTTTTTTTATGTAATTTTGTAGCAGACCATTATCGATCAAAACTCATTACAATTGATCAGCAAAAGAAGAAACAAAATTTATTATTGCAAATAGTTGCAGGAAGCTTAATTCGTACTCTATTTGACCTTTTAACGTTCTTGAATCGAACTTCACTGATGAGACTTTTGTATCTACGAAACGCGCGTCTGGCGTGCAAAATTATATGCCTGTCATCTTTGATGAGTGTATTTAATATCTTTTGAAAACCCAATCATTTGAAACATTCTCAAGTCTGAACTATTGTTTAAGTATTCATTTGAAATTGGTTTGATTTAGCAAATATACATTAAAAAAAACTGCGTACAGATGCGTAGATTTTCAACTGATTAAACTTGTATGTTTTTTTTTTACTAGATTACAAATTCAGTGAGCCTTTTAAACTTACGAGTCAAATGTATGATGACTATCACGACAATGGCTTTCTGATTATACGGTAGGTAACAGATGCTTCTCTATATAATAATAATGAGATGTGGTATGATTGCCAATGAGATAACTATCCGTCATAGTTCAAAGGACTAGGATGTAAACAACTAGAGATTACTGTCCGACCTTCAACAATGAACAAAACCCATACCGTATGGTAAGCTTCAAAAAGACCCGGCATAACAAAATTGGAAACAATTAAAAAAGCAATGGACTGATTTATGCCATAATCAATGAAAAAAAAATATGACAGAATCACCCCCATGATTTCGGAATTTGGCGTAACAGCACAACATAAAAAAACTGTAAAATTAGTTGGAAAGGGCTCGACTCATCGTATCAACACATGTCACAACACAAACACAAAGTTACACAGTTATTGAAAGCTATTTCAAAGCAAATTTCAACTTATAAATACACCATGTTTTCCTATAATAAGAAAACAATCAGTATACATCCAACGGATTTAGTGTAAAAACGTCATAAAAGGTCTTAGGAAAACACGACCTTGTGCATTGCCAAACTATATCTCAACATTTGGTTTGATAAACAGCCAATCCGAATATGAAAGCATGGTAGACTTTTATAGCTGACTATGCGGTATGGGTTTTGTTCATTGTTGAAGGCCATATGGTGATCTATAATTTCTAAAATAAACGTTATTTGGAATCTGTTGGATAGTTGTCTCATTACCAATAATACCACATCTCCGTATTTTATAAAGTCTTCAATACTGGTATACAAAAGTTAAACAAATATTACTTATGTTAGTTTTCAGGAAAATAAGTCCTTTTTTGGTACTAAAACTATGCTTAAAGGTCAACTTTGAAACAGCCCGGTCTAATCATGTTGATTGTAAATTCGCAAAAAAATTTTTGATTGCAAACGTAAGCCTTGAAATAACGTATCAACTGAGAAATAGTTCACAGTTGTAAAATTGAAACATCTTTTGTCAAAAAGTCGTGGTGTCAACATTGTCGTCAAACTTTGAAAGTGAATTTTAGTTCTACATCCGTTTATTTTTTCTTGATAAGCCTCCTTACGAAGTAATTTAAGTCTCAGACGAATGAGGAAACATGCCAGGAGACGAGGAGAGTAGAATGTTCTTATAGGAATGCCGACTGTCTGTAGATAAAAATTCAAACAACAAAACAATTTTCGCTTTCTTATTTTCAATGTCAGCGTTGTTAAAAGCGGTAAAAGTCTTTGTTTATCCTTTGTTCTCGAAAACCTTGTTCTTATTTGAAACTTACACGTCTTCGGCCATGTTTAAGGGTTAGACAATCTGCATGTACCGATGTTGTTTTTTTTTTATTTTGATGTCTTACAGTTAGACAAGAGACTTTCAACAATCCGCTCTCTAAGATCATGTATCATCAATATGTAACAAGAGTAACACGACGGGTGTCACTAATTAAACAGGAACTGCTGACCCTTCCGGAGCACCTAGTTCAACCACAGTTTGTTTTGTTTTTTTGTTTTTTTGAGTGGGGGGGGGGGGGGGGGGGTGATAACTTTAAACACCAATTACTTTGAACAATTAAACCTTGTAAACAGCACTCTAGTTACAGTTGCTTGAATCTTAAATTGAATAAATATGTTATAAGACATAAGAAATAAGAATAAACCAAGGCCCATAAGTCCTAAACAACCCTACAAAAACAGAAATAAATAACTTGGCCAACAAAAAAATATTTAAAAGCACTACGCAGAATTTAAAGGCTTAGAAACACGAACGACGCAACCCAGACTGGTTGTAAATGTTAATGCCGAAAAAAAACTAAGTCTATCTATCAGTAAAATACGAAAAAATGAAGAAAATAAATATTTTCTTTCTTTGTCAAACCTTCAATGAACTTTATCAAACTTCGACTTCAAAATTTACGGTTTTTAATGCTCTTCAACTCTCTATTTGATTTAGTTTCCAACTGTTTTGATTCGAGCGTCATTGATGAGTCTTATGTAGATAAAACGCTCGTCTGGAGTACAAATTATAAGCCAGGTATATTTGCTGAGTTTTTTTAAATATGCAAGTGGTATTCGTTTTTGTCGAGCCTGCGACTTTTGTCGCAAAAGCGAGACATAGCGATCCTACATTCCGTCGTCGGCGGCGTAAGCGGCGTCCACAAATATTCACTCTGTGGTTAAAGATTTTGAAATTTTAATAACTTTCTTAAACTATCCTGGATTTCTACCAAACTTGGACAGAAGCTTGTTTATGATCATAAGATAGTATCCAGAAGTAAATTTTGTAAAAAAAAATCCTGTTAATCCGTATTTTACTTATAAATGGACTTAGTTTTCTGCCAGTTAACATTACATTCACTCTATGGTTAAAGTTTTAAAAAATTTAATTACTTTCTTAAACTATCCTGAATGTGTACCAAACTTGGACAGAAGCTTGTTTATGATCAAAAGCTAGTATCTAGAAGGAAATTTTGTAAAAAATTATTTTCTGTTTTTCCGTATATTAATTATAAATGGACTTAGTCTCTTCAAGTTAACATTACATACAGTCTGCAGTTAAAGTTTTTAAAACATTTATTAGATTCATAAACTATCCTTGATTTTTACCAAACTTGGCCAGAAGCTTCTTACAATCAATATATAGTATCTAGAGGAAAATGTAAAAATTATCTTCTTTATCATTTGTGCATTCAATAAATTTATGTTTCAACTCTTTTATAAATCTATAAATTTGATTGCATACTGTATTCATTTTTTACAAGTATAACTTTTTGCATACATTTCAAACGTTTTATTTCATTAACTGTAAATCTATTATATGCATTCCCCTATCACACTGAAAACATAGACAACAGCAAAAGTAGGCGAGACAGGGGTTCCGCGGAACCCTTTCAAAACTTTTTATAAATATAATGTCTTATTTAATGAAGAATTTGACAAAAATGTAACTTTACTGAAAGAATACTTTTCCTTTTTTACAGTCATATGTTTGATAAGGACGAAATAGATAAAATTGAGAAATGTGTCACCTCAGAGAAGTTTATGGAGAACCGTTACTCGGTAAGCGAACCACAAGAAATTAATTTTTAGAGGAATTAACAATTATACAGGCATATAGTTAAAACAATTAGGCGTACATAATATTGTTTTTTAAATGTAAACTGTTCTGTAACGACTAGTTTCTGTTATTAAGGTCAAGGTAGAGAAAATTATCTATACCACAGATTTTGATAAAATTTTGAATGCAACTTTGGCTCGTTAACTGAAAATTGAAAAAAATAATGCTTTCATCTCTTATTTTTCTGAAATATTGCAGAATGAAAAATGCAATTCAAGTTTCGATTATGAGTAAAATGAATTAAAAAAAGATTGACATTATTAGGAAAGATTTATAGCATCATGTTTATTTCAGTTAGAAGACAAGGACAATAAGATCGTTCGAGTTCAGTGGAAACATCCGGGTAGTGACATCACGGGCATTGCATCAAGATCAGAGAAAATTGTTAACACTTGTGAGAAGGTGTTTATAAATTGTTAACATAATAAACCACTACGGTCTTTATTTGAGATCATAATATATCCTCAACATTTTCATGTTTTCATAAAAAAATATATTTTAGAATGGGACATCTATCTTGAACACCGATTTAATGGGCACATATGAATACTATTTAAACATTTAATGGGCACATATGAATACTATTTAAACATTTAATGGGCACATATGAATACTATTTAAACATTTAATTGTCTGTCAAGTTTGAAGGCCCGTTTTAGTTTAACATTTTTCTTAACCTACAAGGTTATTAGCTAATCTAATGAACTTTTAACAGGAAAGGTTTTCGTTTAGAGTAAATTCTGTTTTATCTATTTTTGGATAAGTAAATACATAATTGAGTTTAATTTTAATCTAAGGTCTGTATGTTATTATATTAATTTTATAATTGCAGTTATTAGACGGCGAAGTTTATCATTATCATTCCAAATTAATTCTGAAGGACCCTGAGGTCTCTGGTGCAATATATTGGCATCAAGATTATGGGTAAACATATTCTTATGTTAGCATATCTTTTTATTTGAGAATTGTTGATATCTGACGTATGTAATGTTTATACGTTATGTGTACATTGGATATCTAATTCACGAGCTATTACCCTATTTACTGTAGAAAAGAGACAACTTGCATTCCCTTAAGTAAATGTTATATCCTAGTGAATGCTGATTAATAGGGTTATGCAACAGTAGTTCAACGATGTTCCAATCTCATACATCGACTAAGAAGACAACTTAATATAACAAACACATACTGATGGACTCGCTTTAACTTCAAAAAGGAGGGAGATCTGGTGCTCCGACGGGGAAAGGGTCTCCTGCTTAGCATGCATTATATACCCGCCATAAATGTTTTTTTTTTTATTTTTCTCTACAAGGAAAATCAACTCGAGCTTTTATTTTTATTCTGTAACTACTTTTTTGCTTAAAGAGAAAATTGTAATTTGACTCTTTATTGTTTACATCCGTCTTTTGGTCTCTCGTCGATAGTTGTTTCTTTCACAATCATACCACATCACCTTATATTTAAACTTGTAGCTGTTACAATGTAAAAATACTATGTTTAATATGAATTGACCTGCAGATATTGGTATCATTATGGAAACCTTTTCCCTGATATGATGACTGTTTGGGTTGCAGTTGATCCAAGTAAGAAAGAAAACGGATGTCTAGAGGTAACTTTCATAAAAAGAACTGAAGGAAAATATTTTTTTTGTTGTTAAATTGAAATATTGTTTATAACATTCACCGTTTTCATGAAATGTGTTGTAATATTCATGTAAAATCACATGTATAAAGAGATTTTTAGTGTTCAACAGTTCTCAATAAATTGAATAGTTGCATGGTTACACTTTTATACATTCATTGGTTGGTATTTTTTTAAAAATTTGAACCCCCAACAAAAAATGAATTCTCATGATGGTTTTCTTAGGATTTCTAATGAGCCATTTAAAACAAAACAAAAATAAAAATTTGCATTCAATTATTTTGATTTAGTTTTTTAAGGGCAAACAAAAACTGCTGTCACACAGTCAAAGTAAAGTTTCGAGAGTAGGGGGATATTTGTTCTTGCGGACAATTAACTTATGAGTTAGCACGATTTAAATCTCAGACTCAGTGTGTTGGTCTCGTAATGAGAAGCTGTCACTTCACTTTTGGTCATAAGTTGCAATTATGGAAATTTCAGCCGTTAGTTATTTGAAAAGTAGTCAGTGTTGGTTACAAAGCGTTGTACATTTTACAGTGCTATAGTTTGAAGTTCTAGAATTATTCTAGCTGTTTACAAAATAATTTAAAATGTTTTTAATACATTAATATAGTTGTATATTTTCTGCAAGATTTTATTTTAAATTGCTGTACTGACTAAAACACCAAATTGGTACTGTAAAATTTAAGTAGTTGTATATTGTACTGCCCGTTACATAATTTGATATTTCTGCTTTATACATATCTTGTACTTTGAAATTATTGTGCTATAATAGTACAATAATTTGAAAATTCTTATAAACCAATACTGAATATCTGTTAAAAATACTTCAAATATATATATATATATAACTATAGTACTATAGTATACTCACAATAGAAAACCTGAAAATGAATTAATTTTACACATATTTGTTGTTTTGAATGATATGGAACTTTCTTTGAAACAATGTCTTTTACTGAACAAATTAAACATTTTGCTTGTTTTTGTCTCGCCTTGCGAGACATAGGTATTACTATCCGGCGGCGTCGTAAACTATTTGTATAAAGCTTTATATTTCAGAAGGTAGACGACCTGGATGCTTCATATCTTGTATGCAGATACCTTATGTTACGAAGTTTCTGTCAATCATATGTCCATTGTCCTTGACCTCATTTTCATGGTTCAGCGACTGCTTGAAAAAAAAATTGAGTTTTTTTGTCATGTGAATATCTCACTTAAAATGAGTAATAGGAAAACTATATTGTATATGGGTTCCTTACAACGTCTACATGTCCGTCAGAAAGAGTTCACCTGACCTCAACCTCATTTCATGGATCAGTGATCAAGGTTGAAGTTACGTGATTAGGTCCGTTTCTCAAATACTATAAGCAGTAGGTCAACTGTATTTGGTGTGTGGAATGATTGTAATGGGTACATGCCAGTCTGGCAGGTTTCATCTGACCTTGACCTCATTTTCATGGTTCATTGGTCAATGTTAAGTTTTTGTATTTTGGTCTGTTTTTCAAGTACTATAAGCAGTAGGTCAACTACATATGGTGTATGGAATAATTGGAAGGATATACGTCTGTCTGGCAGGTATCATCTGAACTTGACCTCATTTTCATGGTTCATTGGTCAATGTAAAGTTTTTGTGTTTTGGTCTGTTTTTCAATTAGCATACGCAATAGGTCAACTATATTTGGTGTATAAAAAAATTGTAAGGTGTATATGTCTGTCTGACATGATTTATCTGACCTTGATCTCATTGTCATAGACCTTTAAAAATGTTAAGTTTCTGTAATGCTTTTAGTAAAACCCTTATCTTTAAGACTTTCAACATAAAATCAATGGTCAGTAAAGCAGGCGAGACATTTCAGCGTGTGCACTCTTGTATTATATAGTGATGCTTTTGATAATGTATATATAAAAAGAAGATGTGGTATGACTATTTTGTAGGTTTTAGCAAGATCTAATAAATGTGGACGTTTAGACCATCATGTTTATGATGGACAAAATCAGATTGCTGAAGAATCTCGACTGCAATCTATCAAAGAAAAGTGTCCTCACATTTACGCTGAGATGGAAAGAGGTATAAAGTTAAGAAAAATATGCATTTCTGAGATTTGTGAACTCATTTCTTGCAAGTTCAATGTACATAGTATAAGGTTTGAGTGCAAGAGTATTCACTTAACTCTGGTCATATTCATTTTTGAGGTACATTATGTCTTTTTTTCAGCAGAGTATGTATTTTCTTTTTATCGTTTTCTTTGTATACCACTTGGTGGTTTTAATTGTTATGAATAATCAAATACAAACTAGCTAATTATAATAAAGCACTTTTAAGTTATATATCAATCATTGAAATAATTCTGATATCAACTGTCAACTTAACTAATCTACCAGTCCTGCTTTTGTATTTAATTTGTAGTTTAAATATATATGGTCTAGTTTATACATAGGATGTATGCACTATCATGAATAATCTACTAGATTTTTCTTTTTCATCCTGATGTCGCATAATTATACCTTTATGTTGTTACCACAATAGTTAACTGCTTTTTTGTAACTTGACAGTTTTAGAGGATTTATCACTGTTTCTACGCAATAAATGAATCTTTTGATTTCTATATGAATCTTTTGATTTCTTTAAACAGTATAAAGGGTAAAAGTATTTAAAAAAATAAGATTAAAAAGGGGAAAGTTCATAAAAACTGATACAAAAGATACATTTGTTACACGTAGAAGGTTGTTCATACACTTTAACCATGAACTACATATATTAGTATGCATCTTTCATCTACTTTTAAGATTTGAATTAAGCCATACCTTTAATAGTATTTGGATTTCATTGAAAATTGAGTGTTGCATTTTGATACCTTAATTTTTGTAATTATGTACAGAAGGGACTGCATTTTCATGTTCCAATATCTATTTGACAGGCGATGTACTGTTTCTCCACTCGAATACATTGCATTATAGCAGTCCTAACAGAAGTAAGATGAGGAGGCTTGGATTCTTAATGTGTTACAACAAGGCAACTAATGACCCCGTCATAAAGCATCACCATGCTCAGTATACTCCATTACAAAAAGTCAGTATAGATAGCAATTTAATTCTGCAGTAAGATCTTTCAATGTTATCATTATCGGTACTAGCATTGATTATGTCTATATAGGAGAGAATAGATGCCAAGGGGGCAATTAAAAATCATAAGTGCAATAAAAGCGGACAACACCATGGCCAAACAAGACACATCATAACGGTATCAATTGCGCAGAAAACATAATATCAGAAGTGTATCAACAACTTTGCCTTCAGAATGTTTTACTGATATTTCATTGCGCAAAAACCTATTCCCGTATTTCTTTTAAGGAACAGTATTTTGTGTCTTTTATCATTTTTTTGTTGTGCTTATTACTGATCTAATGAGTCAAACCCTTTTTTTACTGTTTGTGCACATTTATATAACAGTAAATATTTGTGCTATTTGACTCTGTTTCCAAATGTCATCCACCAAACTTTTTCAATAAGGGGACAGTTCTGTGTCTAAAAGATGACGTTGTCACTTTTCTTTTAAATTGTTATATCTTTGTTGTTCCTTCATTGTTACGTTCTCCCAAATAATCAATTTTAGGAATAGATAACAGGCAACAGTATTTTACTGATGTTAAGATCTAATAAGTTCCTACTTACAAGATACAAATCAAGATAAAAATAAAAAAGAAGGGAATCTCATGAACTGTAAAAGAAGCGAGACCAGGAAAATGTCCATTGTAAAATATTTTCATAGACACATTTCTTTATTTTTAGCAGAAATGGTATATTCTAGATGATATATAATAATTAGCACATTTCAGGTTCCAGATTCAGCAATCAAAGAATGTTCAAACTTTACTGATTTTTCTGGAAAAGAATTCGAACATCCCTCCACAAACACAACGATGATCGGTAGAAAAGACTTATCACACTGATGTTTACATTCAGAACATAGTAATTGAATCTCACAGATGGTTATCTATAGTTTTCGGGACATCTGGAATATATTTATATTAAATACTGATTAGCTTAATACATGTATTTCTTAAGGAAAGTAAAGTTTCTAAAGATCCAAAGTTATTCACTTATCAAGTTTTAGATCACATAGTGGTATGTCTTTTTTTTAACAGTGTGACTTGAATTATATTTTTACAATTTTTCACAATCATATATTAATTTTTCCTGATGTATTGTACGTATTTGTCTTTGAAAGCTTGATACTGAAGATTTTCTACTTATCCCTTTAATTTAGTTACAAACATTTTATGGATGTAGTAAATTATATAGTCAGAAAACCAAAATCAGTAGAAACATCAAAAGGCATGACACATCGTGGAGTTATAAAATCCTAAAGCGCATTAACTACAACTAAAGATGGAGACCAGGCGTGTCTAAAATTTACCAAACGACTATCATACAATCTAAGGGTTATGTCTTAAACCAAGTGTCAACGCCAGGAACTTGACAAAATCGGTAAAATGTCAGATGGGCGTTTAAAGGAAATTTACAATTATTACGAATATCGAAAATGTACATCTGATGCATTAAAATTGGTACCGTTAATGTTATTATTACCATATAAGGGAAAGAGAAACCCTTGAAACAAAAGTATCTAAAATTTATTTAATTTTAAAATTATCAATAATCATAGTCTCTGTTTAATCAAAGTTCTTTTCAACAGGATCTTTACAAATAGTACAGATGTGTTTTTCTTATATTTTTGAAATGTCTAAAGTTAGAAATGTACTAAAAAAAATATTAATTATATAACATGCATTTAACGTGTATACAGCCTATTGATATTATAGTTGCAATTCAAATATTTCATGTAATATAATCTGTTTTAATATTTCGAAATCATTTTAATTTAAGATATTATCACCCTCATATGCACGTATAGCTCTGATTCATGGTCAGGGTTTGAATATACTTTTGATACTTTGTGAGTTATCATCTTTTAAACGTTAGTATTAGGTTTTGGACCTTCAAATATTTAGGCCTCGACATCACTGAAGTGCACATCTAGTGCAATAAAATTTGTACCGTTAATGTAATCACACCCTTTAACGGTCCTCAAATTCGTGATAGCGACCGTAGAATCTGCAATCGTTTTTCCTTCTTGCTATAACAGTTCTCAGTTCTTGCAAGTAAACTAGACACGGTCTGTCCGAATATCAATCCACAATCACACAACTTTATTATAGTAGCATAATCAGCTCCAATGCGGGAGGTTGTAAAATCGAGTCAAAGCCTGAAACCAGAAACTTGAAAAAGTGGTATTTGCTGCTTCACACGCAGCATTTAGGAGTAATATTAATAGAAAGACTACTCAACTTTTAGTCAGAATACTGTGCCCGGGTAGTATGTAAAATTATTCGGTGGACGTTTAGTGTTCACCAACCAGTTAATTAGTTTATTAGCATTTTGGATTGTTTCTTCTTCACAGAGGATTAAATGGTTTACTATAAACAGCTTATCAATTTCTAGTTTCACAAAGAATAAAAAATATAGAAAAATAGCTATTATCTATTTTATACCATGCCTTATTGATTGAATGAATATCAACAACTATGTAAAATGAATGCCACGTTACCTGCATCACAATACTGGAGTATGTGAATGTGTCAAGAGCTGTTACAAAGTAAATTAATGTAAGGGAAAAATACGGCGTAGAGATAACTCCGATTACATTTGAAACCATTGGTTATACAACAGTCCACCTCTTATTTTTTTCATTGTTTGTTTCGGATTTTAATGTCGTGTTCGTTATATGATAAATGTATGATACTGACTATTTGACGCACGAGAAATATTTCTGGAATAACGTTTATAAAGTATGCTGGTCTCAAAGTCCAAACGTAAAAGATTTGTTTACTTTATTAACACCAAACCAGGCAGAAACCCGGTTGAAATAGAACAAAAGAATCGAAGCTCTTTGTTAGAGAAGGCGATAAATGCTTACTGTAATGTTTACTATAGTAACAATTTTTTAAAAGTTAATAGAAACAAATAAAATGACAATTTTCTTCTCAATTATGAAGTGTTTTATTTTAAAAACACCATTTGCATAAGTTTTCAATTTATCTATTACATAGTTAAGCAGAACAATTAGATAACAAGGCGACGACATGAATATCTATCAAGTTGGATGTTGAAAATGCATAACCTCCGATTTTTAAAAAAAATTTACCACGGACGGAGAACATATCAATCTATTAGTTCAGTAATTTTCGTGTCTGCCCTTTCATTAGGTGACTCAAGAAAAAATTCCAAAAAATGGGTAACAATTGTATCGAAAAGAGAAAATCGAGTGCACCTTTTTATGTTAGGGCGTGTTTGAGTTGAAAAAATTGTCTTGAAAACGTACAAAGCAAGAATATTTGATACATCATCTCGCTTCAGGTTCTATCATTTTTATATATCAAAGCTACAGGTTGACTTTATAACATTAAAAAATCACAGTACTAAAAGATGAAATATATGGGTCAAGTGAAATACCTATCTAATGAATCACAAAAACAGAGTAGGTGTGTTCGAATAGCTATTTTTTTTTACTTAAAGTACTTGCCGACAGTCTTTCAAGTTGGATGATGAAAATGCATATCTTCGGAAAAAAAAATTTTTTTGTGTGTGATAACTAGGGTTTATAGTCTTCAACCACTGAAATGTTTTAGTCTGCCCTTCCACGAAATATTTAATTAGAAGATTTTTAAATGTTTATGAATTTTCGAAAATTCCACCTGACAACTGATCAGACAATAGTTTTAAGTTGAATCAATGCAAACAAGATCATTAACTGATGCTCATTAGCTAGTACATACATTTGTCTTTTAAAATACAATTGACATATAAGGATCGTGATGGTGCTATGTGGATAAATTTATCGGTTTTCAAGAGGAAAATTGGCAGCGCGTCATCCCTACAATGGCTTCCATTTCTACGATTGTGAAAATGAACTGGCGTAATGGGGAGATAATTTTGACGAAGTAGATTCCTGACTGAAACCCTTTTCTGTCACTAAAACAACCAATTCTGCATGCGATATTAACCTTTGACCTTGGATAGGATCGATTGGTGTTGAATTACACACATCAATACACTTAGAAGGTCAAATCAATTACGAAGTTCAAGAGCATTTGATAAGCATATTTTCTTAAAGACATTTTCATAATTTGCGTCTCAATATTTCAAAATTATCAATGACTATGGAAAAACTAAGATTTTAGAATTAGCACGTTTCATGAATTTCATCTGAAGTGTATCGGAAGAAATAAATATTGTACAGCATTAGAAATGCAAAAGAAATGATACGAATTTGAAAGAAATTTATTTTAGAAGTTCGTATTTAATCAGAAATCAAGCGGTTGCTTGGTTAATTGGATAGGTATTTACAGAGCTATTGTATTTTCCAAGAAATTGCACAAGCTCAAGAATCACTTTACTTTTGGTAAAATGGATAACAAGTCACAGACAAATCCTAATTTTTTTTTACCCATTTAACAACTTAGAGCATATGTTTTGTCAGCTGTATGTCTGATACTTGAATTAAAGATAAGATGTAAAATTAGGCTCTTTTTGCCGTTCCTGCAGTTTGATTGTATGCTTTAATATATAAATATTGATGTCTGATAGACGCAATTAAGAATTGATATAACAATTCATAGATTTAGTACGTCTGAAGCGCTTTCTGCATTTATGTATTTACATTCAACATGAACGATAAAAACCAAAGTACCGAAACACATGAGATATATAACCAAAAGAGACCTTGAAATGGTCAAATCCAACTAAGGTATCCTTTGATTGAGGGAGGTGGAACCTATGTTTCTTAATAATTTCAAAATTTATAAACGGACAATTTAAGAGAGGTATGTTATAAAGATTTCAGTACCGAAGGACATGCTGCGCTGAAGATACCCTTGTGGACTAATAGTCGACCGGCAGCGATATTGACCCTGTGCTATAAAAATGAAAATTGCCTGTGAACATCTGAGGGATGTCATTTAAAAGATTAATGACTAGCCTGTTTTATTTTGGAATTCAAGTGAGCAAAACTGATCGCATGATACCTTTTTCTATTAAGAAACAGTTGAAAGAACCATAATAGTCATGTCCAAAATCCTGTACATAGTGTGATCTTAGTTATTTATATCCTTTGCTAAATTTCTGATAGATTTTTTTTATCTGTTTTCGGCATTAGCCTCTTCGTTAAATATTAGTAATGTTGTCGCAGTGTAAATAGTTTCTTAGAGCTACAAACACCCAAGTGATATAGTGTAGTACATTTATGAATTATGTTTAACATGTAAATTGATACTTAAAATAGATCCGAGATAAATAGTTATCTAGAAGTAATACGACGAACATTGTTGACCAAAACTAGGTTAGTACATTTAAGATAATTTTCTTTTTTCAAGTAGCTTAATTTTATGAATGAGGGGTAGGGGCAGTCCGTCTCAAGAAAAGCATCGACTGAGCAATGAAAACAAATACAAGCTCATGCATCTGCTGTTTCATTTAACGTAATGATATTGTCTTGTGTATCTCACCTGATGTTATTTGAATAACTGCAGTGATGTAATAATTATAATAACGTATTAACGTCCTTGGTAAATATCATTAAACTGTAATAAGTACAAATGTAAAATGCACCAAAGCTATTAAAAAATAAGTCCTTGAGTAAGAGTTATTAAAACATGATGATTTGACTCCCCTAACTTGTTCACAAATATTTTTTATTCATAACTTTAGGAAAGAATGAGTCCAATTTGTAATTGTTTTAGTGGTGTCTAATAAAACGAAAAGCCAATGTTCAAACAAATATTTGTTTTTTTATGGAGGAAAACGTCGTACTTTCTTATCTTATCAACCAATCTGATTAAAACAACTGACATCATGAAGATGCTTTTGTATTGACAAAAACTTTGTTTGGGGATGTATTTTTAACAGACCGTCGGCATTCCTATCGGATCCATGTACTTGTTCATGCCGACTTCCCCCCTGATACGTATGGGGCAGACCTTATATATGAGCTTTTCAAGAAGAATTAAAGTAGTTTGGTTTCTACTTTAATCGCATCTTTTACATTAAACTGGGAATAAAGGATATCACATTTTCTGTTATTTCAAATATTGGTTTTTATCTAGAAATTAGCAAATGTTTGTCAGTTTGGATTTATAAACTTTTTGACAAGAGATTATTTCAATATTCCAATTTTGAACTTTCAAACTTTAAAATCTTTCTAGGGTACTGGAGCTGGAAAATTTATCATACTATACTTTGATTAGAATGACAACCCTTTCGAAACTGTAGTTTTTGCAATATTGTCATTCCAGAAACCACTCCATACTTTTTTGCGTGTTTTTGTCCACACTACATTTGTACTTCAATGACAATAAAACTATCAGGTGCCAGAAATAACAACGGTTAATTTGCCCTCGGGTACATAAGAATGCATTTTAATATCTGTCACAACCATGGCACTAATAATTCAATATCTGTCAATGATGACATTATAGTCCATGCGAATATAAACACATTAAACACTGCTTTTGATTATCTTGTAAACAGCAAAAGGTTCTGATTGGCTCTGTTTACGTGAGCATGAGTTTATGACTGTGTGTGTATGTTTGTGTGCGTCTCCCTGTTGTGTTGCAAGATGCATGTATTGTATTTGTCTTGTTTACATGCATAGTACTTGTCTTGTTTACTTGTTTTGTTTTTTATTGCGTAGAATCACTAGTAACCCTTGATGCGTTGACAAACCCCTATAAAGGGTTAAAGTTTATGATATGTAGCAACATTCCAGCAGAAATTGTGAATTACAAAATGGCTTGTTGCATTAACAAGAAAGCCATTGGACCAAGTGTTCTTAGTTAAAAAGTTGTTGATAACTCTTTGAAAAGTTTACTGACGCCATCATAATTATGTGAACGTTTGAGATACATGTATCACAAATATCTTCTTCTTTTATTCATATGAGGCTGACTTCAAACAGGAACTTCTTAGGAAGAAAGAAAAGAAGTTAGCAGTAAAACTTTCCACTATATAGATGATGTTCTCTCACTAAATAATTCTAAATTTAGTGACTATGTTGAACGCATCTATCCCATCGAACTTGAGATAAAGGATACAACAGATACAGTTAAGTCTGCCTCATATCTTGACTTACATTTAGAAATTTACAATGAGGGTCGGTTGAAAACAAAACTGTACGACAAAAGAGACGATTTCAGCTTCCAATTGTGAACTTTCCTCCTGCATACGGAGTATATATCTACAAGTTGAAACGATATTCCAGAGCTTTAATTTCTTATCATGATTTCCTTGATAGAAAGTTGCTGCTCACAAGGAAGCTATTAAACCAAGAGTGTCAAGTGGTGAAGTTGAAATCATCCCTTCGTAAATTTTACGGACGCCATCACGAGTTGGTTAACCGTTATGGAATATCATTTTTACAGATGACGACAGATATGTTCCAATTGTCGTATCTTTTACCTCTCTTGACCACGGATATCGATTACATTTGGAAGACAAAATCAGGTGCTCTTTTTCTCGATTATTACATCACTGAAAGGCGACTTAGCGCCAGACTTTAACATGCCAATAGCAACGTTACGATTGCAAGTAGGAACTGCTTATCCTCCCAGAGCACATGTGTTCCCCCCTTGTTTTGTTTTAAAGGTTAAGGTTCAGTTTTGTATTTTGACCTTTCATTTTTCACGTTTGTGTTGTTTCTTCCTGTTCCAGTCTCGTATCGTTTGCCGTTTAAAGCGTGTATTCATTTCAAACTTTCACATTCAGTTTGGTTGTAGAGTTAGGCACATGTTCCCATGGTTTATGCATTTGGTAATGTCTTTGGGTAAGACCAACGACAGTTTTAACTCACTTGGTTTGAAGGACCCTGTGAGCTTTTGCATCTGTCGTCCGTAAACTTGTCTTTAAAGTCTTTCTCTGAAACCGCTTAATGGATTGCTTTCAAAATTTGTCAGCTTCCTCTATGAAGTTTTCGATTTCGTTCCGGTTGATCAACTAACATGGCCACTGTGGCTAAAAATAGAACATAGGCACCAAGCTGTAGTTTTTACCTGTTTCGGAATTGTTGCCAGTGAGATTTCTGTTTTTCTAATGTTCGCAGTGTTTTTGTTCTTATTGCAAAAACTAAAGGAGCTAAGTTAAAAGTCTAAATTGAAAAATGACCACCAACATAAAAAAAAAAACAACTAGCATGTGCAGTTAAAGGTCCTCATTAGCAAACTGACACTTTTTACAAGGTGAGCGAGACAGGTTCATGTGAGTCTCTTGTTGATATCGTTGCCCCATCACTGAGTAGCACGACGGATATTTGTGAGGTTAATGTGCCTAGTGTTCAGTTTTTAGCTTTTGGTGTTTTGAACCGTTTTTTGTCCCTCTTTTTTTTCTTTATCTGTAGTATTTTCTTTTTTTTCTACGGCTTATGCTTTTTGATTGCCCCCTTTGTATCCTCTCCCCTTTGTGGCTTTTTATTTGACATTTACAATAACACGTTAGTTTAAGAATAAAATCATCAATATGTAATTTCATGGTATCATTGATGTGTCATTTCCAGTAGTTAAAAACTACTGCTGATAATTCTGAAGATCTCGCCTAGATTAAATATGATTGAGTACACATAACTTAGTAACTGGTTGATTACTGCTTAATGTTAAGTGAACAAAAAAAATGAATACTTTGCGTAGTGTGCTAAAATAATAGATTCAACCTATAGCTGCTAACTTCTACGTCATTTTGTCTCTATTGTAACGTTTTCTCATTGGCCATCAAACCACATCTTCGTATAATTATATTGAAATTTTGAAAACTTATGAAGTCGATTTTTTACAGGTATCTCAAGACCGCAAGATGAATATAAGATCAGGTATGAATTTATGAAATTGGAATGTACTTGTTAACTTTTATGTTTTTAGCATAACCAGGAAAAAAAGAGCAATATCACTTATTAGATAAAAATACTAGCGTCATAACAATCTACATTATATGTATGAAGTGAATGAAAATATAACGTTCATGTAAGGAATGAAATTTGTCTCCCCTCCTTCAGAAAATCGGATTATACACTTTTACACTTCTAATGTATATTTCACAGTACAAATTAGATTTCAGTAGGATCTAAAATCCTCACAGTACAAATTTGGATTCCAATATCTACTAATAGAAATTGGAGTTCTGATTTATACTAATTAAAATCCAGCACAAATCAGATTTTCGACTGGTAGACTGATCTGATTTGTACTAGGAGGATCCTGGATTGTGCAATATGATTATCTAAAATGACACGATAATAACATTATTTTTATCTACTAGCATTCCTGTTTATGTCTGATCTATAGCACTACTTACGTTTATTAAGCCTTCATATCGAATCACCGACCAATACCAATCCATATTCCGTAGACAAGGTTTGTGTATTTCAAAGTAGGTCCTTGTGTAGTCAGATTTTTTAAATTGAATTGCTACTAAATTGAGCATCTGTTATTAAAATTTTAGTTTTGCAGTTTTGGGTTTTATTTTTTGAAAATAAAGAGTGTTTAAAATCATTAAAGTCCAAAATGTTGTGTAGTACAATTGTACATGGCTGGGTGCAAAAAAACTCAACATATATACCAGGATAAAACTTTTGTACGCTAGACGCGCGTTTCGTCTACATAAGAACCATAAGTGTCGTAAAAAAAGTTTAAAATATAGTACGAAGTTGAAGAACATTCAAAGGTTAATCAGTTAATTTATATAATTATGACCATATCAATGATAATTTATGTCAACACTGAAGTGCTGATTACTGGGCTGGTGAATCCTCCAGCTGCAGTGGTTGTAAATAAACTCATCATAGATACTAGTACCAGAATAAAAAAATTTGTACGCCAGACGTGCTTTTCGTCTAGAAATGACTCATCAGTGATTGTTGCTATTGTCATAATTAATCTGAGTTGACTGTGTCCCATTTGAGGTATCTGTCATGTCTAGTGAAAAGGGGACATCTGCTATTTCAGACGACACCGTGTCTTCAATGGTGTCTTTTTCGGACCTTTCTATACTGGTCGAGGTCCGCGCCAGTATTATATTATATCTTCATAGTTCATACATTGTATGATAATAGGTGAATGATGTCCTCTTGGGCAAAATGTCCACCCGCAATGAAATCGACCCAGTAGTTGTAAATATGAGACAGAAGATACTAAAGGGATATTCAAACTCATAAGCCGCAGATAAACTGAAAACACCACAAAACACAATATAGAAAACTTAAGACTAAACAATCCGAACCCCACCCTAAACAGGGGTGAAACCAGCTGCTAAGTAACAATCAAGTTATTGCTTATCCTGTTGATAGGTAATCTCTTTGTATTCATATTCATGTACATTATAAATAACACTGGAAAATGAAAATAAAACTTTATAAATTCATACGTCTTAAGCCCTTTTCTGGATTTATCTTCAATATGAACTCTCAAAGCCAAAAATGTTTAAGTACCGAAACAATTGAAGAGCTATATGATCTATTAAAAAGTGCCCCAAAATGATAAACAAATTTGTCTACGGTCAACTTTGCCTGTGTGTCTAGAAAATTAGCTTCATAATAATTTCCCAAAACATACATTTATTTTATAGATATTAATGTGTTGGAATATTGCATATTTCTTTTAGAGTACAGAATCAGCGAGCCGTTTAAGCTTACAGAACAAATGTACAATGACTATCATGAAAATGGGTACCTTATCATACGGTTGGTTTTTTAAAACTTTTTTACATAATTTTGTCATTATTATTATTGATTTTTGTTACCAATCATGACTAAGATTTGCATTATAGAAAAAATTCGTTGAAACGCTTTTCTATATTAATCTAGATCAGGATCACTTCGACGATAACAGTTCAGAAAGTCAAAGATAATATAAATATAATGAAAACTAGAGGAAGTGCAGGAAAATCTAACATAAAGATACCTACGCCCATTGCAAAGTCCCTAATAAAATAATTAGGGCAAAAAAAACCCAAACTATATTTTAAAGATCCTGGGAAAGTTTGATTAAATTCTAAAAAGTGGATGAATTGTGTACTATAGTGTAAAATGCGGGTATAATAAAGTCCATGCCATGACCAAGTTAACATAAAAAACATTTGGCTTAAATTGTCAACCATTTATATCCCCTGTCTTTTGCAATAACAAATCTGTATTTTTTAGGAATATGCTTGACAAGGAGGAGATTAACAAAATAGAGAAATGTGTGACCGGAGAGAAGTTTATGGAGAACAAATACTCGGTATTACATTTTGGGATAACATACATGATTTTTGTCTGATGCAAGTTTTATAAAATAAAATAACATTGATTGTGTGCATAGGCGTTTTTATAGAATGGAGTCAAGCTTGTGTAATAAATGGTTAAATGTATGTAATAAAGAAGGAAAATAAAACTTCGTCCGAAGCGCTTTTCTGGATTTACCTTCATCAGAAACGCTCAAAGCCGAATATTTTGAAAGACAAGAAGGAGAAGAACCATCTTACCAAAACGGACATAAAATAATAGCCAAATCGATCAAAGGTCAACTTTGCCTGAGGGAGTTGAAACCTAAGTTTTTTAATAAATAACATATTTTAAAGCATACGAATTTGTATAAAAAAGTGTCCTAAATTGATTTGGTTGCTGTCTCGTAAACGTTAACATGGCAAAACCTTTATTTCCAAATTGCATTTTTTATTCATCTTTTATTTTTATGTCATCATTAATTATAGACAATATAAAAACTTCATATTATTTTAGCTAGAAGATAAAGATAATAAGATAATACGAGTTGTTTGGAGACATCCGGGTAGTGACGTCACTGGAATTGTATCTAGATCAGAGAAGATAGTGAACAGTTGTGAAAAGGTCTGTACTTAAGTTTTTAATATTGCGCCTTAAATTATAACACATCTATTAAACCTCCTATGTCCTGAGTAGACAGATTGTTGTTTGTGGTTTATTTTTGAGGATACCCATTCTCATTTTCAACAAGACACAAAATTTTACACTAAGAATGTAATCTTAACGAAAACATTTTAAATGCTTTCCCTTCAACAGTTTGATATCAAAACCATTAAACCTTTTTTTAGGGGATATGGGGTAAATAAAACTTTATCATAATTTTTCATTAGTTTGTATGACATATTTTTATAATGTTCAATATTTAATGTTTTTGCCTTCTTATATTTAGTTGCTTGGCGGTGAAGTGTATCACTACCATGCTAAGTTGATTATGAAGGAACCTGAAGTGTCTGGTCCTATATACTGGCATCAGGATTACGGGTGACTATTTTCACGACTTTTATCTAAGGTTGACCATAAAGGCAACAGTAGTATACCGCTGTAATATTGGCCATAATATTCTAAATACATGTATATTACCAGGTACAGGACATTATTATTGATATCTTTTTATTTGTTGACTTTTTTGTTTGACTAAAACTTGTATTAACTTAGCCAAATGGGGAGTAAATTTCAGCTGGTTTTTTTCTACAAAGCCTGATATCTAGTGCTAGTAGCATACTATGTAATGATTATGATTATGGTGATATATGGTCTTATTAGATAAGTAGATTCAATTAAACTATTAGTCTTCGTAATTAACAAATACATGTCATTTCACATAGATAATAACATTAAAAAAAGTTAAACAGTGTTTTTTCGACTTACTAGTATCAGTTCAAGATGTAAAATTAAGTGATACAAGAATTGATAGCAATCATTATTGATTAGTTAAGGATAGGTTGTTCGATTTCTCATTTTGAAGAAATGAATATCCTCCCATTGTAACAATATAATGTCAAATGCATATGTAAATTTTTCAAGCTATTGGTATCATTACGGTAATCTCTTCCCTGACTTGCTGACTGTTTGGGTTGCAGTCGATCCCAGCAAGAAAGAAAACGGATGTCTGGAGGTTCGTAATGTTCTATGTTTATAAGTTAAATAACAGAAAATAACAAATTAAGCCGGCAACGAAAACGAACAAAATTCTTTTTCAAACTCGTAAAATATACTTGAATAGTCATTAGCTGTATCTGAAAGTCTTGCATATACTTTGAATAAATATGTTATCATAACCCCTCCATAATGAAAAGTATTCCAAAACAAAATGCACAAAGATATAGAAGGTCAGAATAAAAGACATCCGGCCAGTTCACATTATATTCATCATTTTGTTACACATGTTTTTTTTCAACCAGTCAGCTTACATACTAATATTTATTATAGGTTTGAGCTTTCAATCATATGACATACTATTCTTTGTTATATGTTAAGGCATCCATTCAGATTACATGCTATTCATCATTTTGTGATACAGGTTTTTGCATCCAGTCAGTTTACATACTACTCATCATTTTGTGATACAGTTTTTAACATCCAGTCAGTTTACAGACTATTTATCATAATGTAATACAGGTTTTAACATCCGGTCAGTTTACATACTATTCATCACTTTGTGATACAGGTTTTAACATCCAGTCTGTTTACATACTATTCATCAAAGTTAACATACTATTCATCATTTTGTGATACAGGTTTTAACATCCGGTCAGTGTACATACTTTTCAACATTTTGAGATACAGGTTTTAACATTGTGTAAGTTTACATACTATTCAACATTTTGTGATACATGTTTTAACATCCGGTCAGTGTACATACTATTCATCATTTTGTGATACCGGTTTTAAGATCCGGTCAGTTTACATACTATTCATCATTTTGTGCTACAGGTTTTAACATCCAGTCAGTTTACATATCAATCATAATTTTGTGATACAGGTTTTTAATATCCTTTCTGTTTACATAATATTCATCATTTTGTGATACAGGTTTGAACATCCTGTCAGTTAACATACTATTCAACATTCATATTTTTGTGATACAAGTTGTATCATCCTGCCTGTTTACATACTATTCATTATTTTGTGATACAGATTTTAGCATTCAGTCATTTAACACACTAACCATCTTTTTGTGGTACAGGTTTTAGCAGGATCCAATAAATGTGGGCGGTTAGATCATCACGTAGATGATGGACAGAATCAAGTTGCCGAACTATCACGTCTAGAATCCATCAAGAAAAGATGTCCTCATGTTTACGCTGAGATGGATAAAGGTAATTCTGTACTTCATAAGAATCAAATTCATCTGGACCCATTTTTTAATAATATTAGTATCACTTTATTCATCTTTTTACTTTATTTGGCCTTTAAACTTTTTTTAGTCGAGCGTCACAGATGAGTCGTTTGTAGACGAAACGCGCGTCTGGCTTACACAATTATAAGCCCGGTATCTTTGATGATTTTTTCTCATGATAAATTAGACGGAACAGTACATTACCGATGTTCAAAAATCATAAATCTATTAAGAAGATACAAAATCAAGGTTAAAAAGCAAAACCTTATGGAATCGCAGGAACTCCAAATTGAGCGAGACTGGGTAAGTCGACATGATAAGCATCACCCGCCATGCGAATCCAGACTCGGTCGAATCTTCACCCTCGAGAATAAGACATGAATGGTAAATTTTCAGATCAGACTACTATTCTGGTGTTGAAAGATCTGACAGCGAAAGCATGACGCTTGTGAGTTGAGACAAAGACAAAGCGTACCGGTCAATCAGTTAGTGATGGTTACCGTAAAGTGTATGTGATGTCGATTTCTTTCGTGCTTCCTTGTAACTCTGTTTGAATGGTTTTCTGCCCTGTTAAAAAGGTCCGCATAGAGTGATCATGCACGAGCGTAGCGTATTCGTTGATATAAGACAACGATTTATGAAGCAAACCTTCTAGTTTCGTTACTATCTTTAATCCTTAGAAATATGCCTTTTTCAGGAGATGTATTGTTTCTCCACTCTAATACACTACATTATAGCAGTCCAAATCGTAGTAAAATGAGAAGGATTGGATTCCTCATGTGTTACAACAAAGCCTCCAACGACTCCGTCATAGAACACCATCATGCTAAATATACCCCCATACAGAAAGTAAGTTTTATCATTTTGACTCAATGTATCCTTGAAGGTAGATGTATTTACAAAATTGACTTTCAACAGAACACCAATCGTAGCTTATACTACTTCAGTCGGGAAATGATATAAGTGAAAATATACAGAAAACGTGAAAGTAAGTTTAATTACTATTCTCTGTATTCCCCATCAGGAAAGTAAGATTTTCTTACTTTCAGCCGGATGAAATGTTTATATATATAAAAATAAGAAGATGTGGTATGATTGCCAATGAAACATCTGTCCACCAGAGACCAAATGAGATAGAAGTTTACAACTGTATGTCACCGTACGGCCTTCAAACATGAGCAAAACCCATACCGCATAGCCAGCTATAAGAGGCCCCGAAATGACAAATGTAAAACAACTCAACCGAGAAAACTAACAGTCTGATTTGTGTACAAAACAATCCACGGAAAACAATTATGATATACAGCAATAAACGACAACCACTGAATTGCAGGCTCCTGACTTGGGACAGGCACATACATAATGTGGCGAGATTAAACTAGTTAGTTGGTGCCAAAACCTTCGCCAAACCTGGGATAGTGGTGTAACAGTACAACATAAGAACAAACTATAAAAATCAGTTGAACATGGCTTAGCTCATCATATCGATACAAAGCAGAAACACAGCTTACAAAAACACAGACCGGACGTGACAGGGTATTTATACATCCCCGAAACAAAAAAGACACTGACTACAGATCTAAAAGTACTCGCAGTTACTGACAACTAGTTCAAAGCCAATAAAATATCAATCAGTACACATCCAACATAAAATGGATATAGTGTAAAGACGTCATTAACAATCAGAGAATTCATGACCTTGTGCGATGCCAAGATACAGGTATCGACAGATTATGTGCTCATTAAATATTCCAAAAAGTTCAGTTACCAAGTACAGTATACTTTAAGTAAACATATTAAGATGAACAATAACTGAACTTATTGTCACAGTCAAAATGAAATCCAGGTGTATTATATTTCAACATTAGAGATTGCTCTGGGGTTTGAGTGCTCTCATTGTAAATAACAAACAGTAATGGGGTACTTAAGAACGGTGAAAGTGACGCCGCCCTTATTCGAAAATATTCTGTGTTTGGTAGTTATAAACATTATGTATAAGTTTTAAAACATTTGGTTTTGGCAAGGCGAAGTTAGAGTGCGGAAATGTCAAATTCAGCAATTTTTCTATTTATAAAGAGACATAACTCGAGAACGGTGAAAGTGACGCCACCAAAATTCAACTTGATCTGTGTTTGGTTGTAATAAGAATTGTGTATAATTAGTTTCATGACATTTGGTTGATCCAAACTAAAGTAAGAGAACTGAAACCAATTTGGGACGTACGTGTGGATGGACGAACTACAGACGAACAAGGATAACCCTTAATGTACCTTGCGTCTAGCGGCGGGGGCATAAAAATAGAACAAATAAAATGCTATGAATTAAAGATCGATAGCTATCTCACAAGTAAAAAAACCCACATAGTTTAGCATTATAAAACATTTAAATCAAAGTCATCTTAATCAGTTTAGTATTTCAAAGTTTATAACTAAATTCACCATGAGCAGTACCGTAATGTTGTTATCAGCACCTTATCTGTTAATATAATTTTTTTCCTTCAAAATTGATATTAGACGACATACATTGTACTATTCAATTCAGTTAAAGCAGTTCTCTTTCCCCCTTTGGTCTGCTGATGTTTAACACCTAGTGTCTCTTTGTAAATACTGCTGATTTCAAATAAACTTTAAGATTAGAGTTCATGAAACATGTTAAGACTAAGAATATTGTTTCTTTTTTCTTTCATTTCTTTACTACAGTATTAGTGGCTACCTCAGCTAGCCCGATGTAGTAGAGAGAACATTTTGCCCCTGCATTCCAAATTATGTGTCGTCCTTTGTTTTCTTGCTCAAGTTAGTGGTCATCATTTAGTTAGTGGTTAGCAGCTGAACTGTGAAGATTTTTTGTGTGCTTTACTGATATGATAGTGTACCTTTTTTCAAAGGAGTTGATGGGTTGTGTGGTCTACTGTAAAACAAAATTGGTATCTCTTGTAATACTTTTTGTTTTAATTGGTAAGAGGAAAATATATAACACAATTGTCTTCCTCTTCAAATAATAAACATAGAGGGAAGACTCTGCTGCATCTGTTTCAATTTATACATATGAACAGCACATGCATGATTGTCGAATAATGCTTTTTATATTATTTCAGGTTCCAGATTCTGCTATTAAAGAATGTACAAATTTTACAGATATGTCGGGAAAGGAATTCCAACATCCAAGTACAAATACAACAATGATTGGCAGAAAAGATCAATCTCACTAACATACACGGTTGTTTTTGAGACAAAGTATACACGTTCGAATAGTTGGAATGCAGATGCAGATTTTTGCAAATCATCAGCTGGAATAATATTGCAGTAAATAAATTAACGATTCAAACATCAAAAAGAAAAAAATAACAAACAATAAATTTATAAATTTATTATTCAACTAATTTCACTAATCATAATATACATTTTTAGTAAACCATTCGGCACTCACAATTCAAATATAGGAGATGGACAAATAACTTAATGATAAACAAGCACTTATGATATGTTTTCCTTCAAAATACCAACATAAGGATATTTAGGTTTCTGGAAAACTCCTTATATTTATATCTGTAAGCTCATTTATCATACTGCTAACAAACAAGGCATTGTAAAGGGGGTCTTGCATGGTATTAGTATATTTGTATGAATTAAGGCAACAGTAGTTTCCTGATCTTCAAAAGCTAGGGGCATCGCATGAACCCAAGAAGGAGGGAGACCTGGTGCGCCGAAAGGGTAATTAAATTTCTCCTGGTGTGCATGCACAAATCACCATTAAAATTCTACAGTCAAAATGTCACAGTCGGGAAAATAGAGACGACTATTTGAAGATATAAAACCGCAAAAAAACATGTCGCTAGTAAACTGAGACGCAGACAGATCGTATCGGGCAACCAATTCGTGATGGTGACCGTAAAACTTATGTTGTGTTGATTTCAGTTCTTTATACCTCATTGGAACAGTTTTCGTGTAAAGAGCGAATCAGTTGCAGAAGTCAATGCACAAAACGAAAAACGACGAAAAGAAAAAAAAAAACAGTCTATAAAACACTATATAGAAAACTGAACGAAGCAACACAAACCCCACCAAAAAAATCGGGAATGAACTCAGGTTCTCCGGAAGGATATACTTTTGTGACCAACCGTTGGAAAGCCAAATACATAAAACAGTTGGAAGCAACAAAAGAAAGGTGTCTAAACGTAAATCAATTTATCAATCAGTATTGTATAACACAAATTCATTTGGCTTTCCAAAATGTTGGTCTTGGTTTCACCTAATGAAGTTAATTCCCGAAACACATCTCATGCGGTCTGAAATTATTATTTTATGTTAACATCATTGGGATATTACCGCCGATGGTAAAATTGTCAGTATTCTGGATTACCAGAGGCCAGTGCGTCGGTTTTGGTTTGATTGGCATCATAAATTTTGTCTTTAACGTAAGTGTTTAGTTAATACATATATGGTGTTGGTGTTATTAACTTAAGGTTTCAACTTCCTCGAGCAAAATGACATAGCCACAATAGCTATAGCCTCAATCCCGTATAATTCTTTCTTCGTTTATGTTTCAGGTAGAATACATCTGTTGAATAAGTCAAAACATTATTTATCATTCAGGAGTATCATTCTTTTTTTTTACTGTAACTGTATATTGTCATTAATTTACTGTTCCTGTACAGTTTGTGGCTGTAAAACGTGTTGCAGGAGTAATTTTAGAAGCATCTTTTGATTTTCAATTAATTCTAATGTTTAAAGAACTTGGATGGAAGTCAATAACGAGGGGAAAAAATCAAGCTATATTACATCGTTTAAATGTATGCAGGGGCGGTCATCTTCTCATCTATCTAGTAAATTTATTAAATGTTAGATTTTATACAATACAAATTGATTGATTGATTGATTGATTGATTTTTGGTTGCTTAACGTCTAGCGGCCAATATTTCATGCATGTTCAGGGCGAGAACAAATAAGCAATAAACTCAGAAAAAGGTTCTTTTTTAGGTCGGTGAAATTCGGCCTGCCATTGGAAAATTATCGTATATTGGATAGGGACAGAAATTTTGCCTTGCAATAAGCCACCTACGTATCTCTCAAAGAGTTGTTGCAAAGATTCTTAACGTATAGAGAGCGTGACACTCTCTTTACACAAGAAATCGGATTTAAAAGAGAAGCGAAGGATACCGAAGTAGATTCAAACTCACAAGTCGAAAATAAACTGACAACGCCATGGCTAAAAAAGAAAAAGACAAACAGACAAACAACAGTACACAAAACAACATAGAAAACCAAAGACTGAGCAACACGAACCCAACCAAAAGCTGGGGGTGATCTCAGGTGCTCCGGAAGGGTAAGCAGATCCTGCTCCACATGTGACACCTATCGTGTTGTTCATGTAAGTACAAACCCGGTGATATGTCTAATTTGGTCGGTCACAATCGGGGGAAAGGGGACGAGATTGTAGTTACGACAATTGGAACATATCCGTCGTCATCTGTGAAACAGATATTCCATAACGGTCAACCAACTCGTGATGGCGTCCGTAAAATTTATGATTGGGATGATTTCAGCTTCACCACTTGGAACTCTTGGTTTAATAGCTTCATTGTGAGCAGCAACCGTCTATCAACAAAATCATGAAAGGAAACACAAGCCCTGGAATATTGTATCAACTGGGATATATATACTCCGTATTCAGGCGCTGTTGGAATGTTCCTACATAGAAATGGAAAGTTCACAATTGGGAAGCTGAAATTATCTCTTTTGTTGTCAAGTTTTGTTTTCAATCTACCCTCATTATCAATTTCTAGATGTAAGTTAAGATATGAGGCAGACTTAACTGTATCTGTTGTATCCTTTATCTCAAGTTCGGTGGGATAGATGCGTTCAACATAGTTCCCATTCTGACCGGGCGTGGCTGTGTACTTTTACATCCCGCACAGCCAACGGACGCCCCACTTTGGCAAGGGTTTTACTGTGGGTCGGAACAGAATCTAAGTGACCAGTCACCATTGCAAAATGAAGATACATGAATCACATATATTTGTTTTCTCCTTTGTCGAATTCAAAGTATTCAATACTAAAGCTAAATATATGTATTAACCTGTACCAAGTCAGAAATGTGACAGTTGTTTTCCATTCGGTTGATGTGTTTGAGCTTTTGGTTTTGCCATATGATAAGGGACTTTCCGTTTTAAATTTTTTTTGGAGTTCGGTATTTTTTACTTTTTTGTATACATATATATGGACGATGTTAAATGATTTACCTTTGTTAAAAAAGAAAGATTTACCTTTGTTATTTTAATGGTTCATAACATCACCAAATTTACGCCTTGTCATTGATTATCATTTTTAACACGACGGGCGCAACTTTTTGTAGCAAAAAAATACTAAAGTTCGGAGCACCATAGTTTATTTCTATTTTTTCTTGCTTTTGTTTCTTTTCAGTATCGTATTTGAATTCTTTTACCTTTAAAGTTGATAGTGTTTATATTGGAAACTATATGGTATATTATTTGTCCTGAAATTATTACATTGACTCATTATTAGATATGCTTCGTTAACTTTAACATGAGTTACATGGTTACTTGTTGAGAAGAAAATGCAGACCCTCCAAGAGCATCCAAGTTCAACCCCCGCTTATTCGTTTGGTTCATCTTGCTTAAACTTTTTTTGTGAACTGGCCTGGTGTTTGGACTTTCAAATAGTTTGGCCTCGAGCATCACTGAAGAGACATTCATTACCGAAATTCGCATCTGTTGGTGTAAAGTTTGTTCCCTTAATGTTATTAGCTGGCCTGTTCTTGTTATTTAACTTTTGAACCTCGCAATGTTTTTACGTTTTTGGTGTTCTCGAGCGTACCGTGGAAATGTTGTTATGTGCAACTGAATAATATATATTGATATATCTTTGGGGGAGTACTTAGTACTGATAGTTTTTAACTTTTGGCCCTGATTCCGGTGGTCATACTTTCTCATTCAACAACGAAAAAAGTGAGGAAATTTCCTTGAATAAAATCGGACAAATTGTTTAAAATGATATTGTTGTAAAAAAAGAAAGAAGATTTTGATTGATAAAATCAGATAATGTTTCTTGATTTTAAGGAATTCGTAAATTGTTTTAGTTCAGAACATGCTCAATTAAATGAATAGGACTAAATGTATATATAACTTCTTAAACATATGTCTAAAACATACAGGAAATAACAAACAGGGGAAGGGGATTCAAGTATCTAATACAAAGAAAGAAAAACAAATTAATTGGAAAACACAAATACAAGCAAGTCTAAAAACTGGTAACAAAAAAAAAATCAGCACGAGTAAACATTTCAACACAGCTCGACTTCCTTGAACAAAAGGAATTAATTTTTTAAAAGACTACTCGGCCACTATTTAGCAGTGTTCACTTTTACAAAGAACATAATTAATATATGTATATATATATATATATATATATATGAACAAGTCTAAATTGAAAACAACGTTCTAACCTATAATTGCGTTGGATAAAAACTGCAATTTTTATACGTGTGCATGCAAAACAGATTTCTTGGTAGAGGGGTCTAAATACAGCACAAACAACATTTTCCAAAAGACCTAAAAAGTGAAACAGTATATTCTAACAAAACGCATTTGACTAGCAGGTCGAATAACGGATGTTCTAAAACCCTGCTGACTGCCATTGGCGATTGCCAAATAAACGGATCACCAGATGTAACAAAATGGATCCTATATATAATAAGTACGTCTAAACAAGTGACAACTCCATCCATTGGATCACCAGTGAAGGTGATACACGGCTGAAAACACATTATATTCATAATAACTCTAAAGCACAACAATGTTAAATCTGCAAATTTGCGGAAACAATTTTTTGTTCTTCCCTCGCCGGGATTCGAACGCATGCTATTGGGATATCGTGACAACACCGCCTGCACTGTGTCCAGCGTTCTAAACCACTCGGCCACCTAGACTGAACTAAATATTCAGCTTTCGGTGGCCGAGTCTTACCTTTCCTCGTTATTAGAATCTAGAATTGTAACACAGTACATGATATATTAGGCATGAAGATGGAATTGATTGCAGATTAGCTAAATCATCTGTCGTATCATAAGATGCAGTCACAGAAATAATTACGTCTCTACAAGTGACAACTCTACGACAGATACTTATAATTAATTCTTCATGCCTAATATATCATGTACTGTGTTACAACTCTTACAACTTACAACTCATCAGTAAGATGTCAAATGGTTCTTATCTTGACATGTGGTAGTCACACTGTAATAGTAATCTTGATCGTTATACAAATTATCACAAATCAATACGCTGGTATATTTTTTCAATATTGATGTTTAGGAGGAGGAATAAATTCCTTAAAACTGTAAGAGTCCTGTACTGAAGC